TCCACCTGGGAACTGAGTTAACTGAAAACCCAATGTCAAAGTGTGTGTGCCTTTGTCTAGCTGCGCTTGCTTCGAGGTTGCACCCTGCTTGGCTTGAAAACGCTGGCAAGGGCCAAGGGAGAGAAAATGCCTAGGCATGACAGGTAGTCCTGCTGGTGGGATTCTAGAGATGAACACAATCAGTAAGAGATGAACACGGCCCTCAAACACCCAACGTATTAACATAATTTACCACCTCAAAACCATTTCAAACCTATTCAACAGTTCTCATAGGGGAGGTCCAAAAGAACCACAAGCATGCGCACGCTGCATGCCCCTTGTGTTGCGCGTGTTGCACGTGGCGCGTTGTGGCACGCAGGATACCACTATAGCGGTGGCTCGTCCAAGTGGACCCCTCCCGCAAAGCAGGCGAGGGAGCGAGTCCGAGGGGAAGGGTTCATGCAGAACCCCTGGACGGCGCAAACCCATGGGCGCGCTCCGATCACCACATGGTTTTCAGTTTCTTGTTGAGACGTAAAAACACTGGAGGCACTTGGCCGTTAGGGGCCCCGTTGGCGTTCTGCTTGGACACCAACATCAACAAACTGTTTTTGGGGTGTGAATGAATGAACACCATATCAAAGAGCCTAGCACCCTAGCAGACAATTCTCTTCTCCCTCCTGGTGTTGGTAGAGAGCTCTAAGTCGGCGTCGTTCGTCCCTCACCGAATTTGCTCAGTCAAGCTGAGCATCTCATTGGGGTCCGCGACTGCGAAATCACATTGACCAAATGATGATATAAAAAATATATATATATATTACATATAAAGTAATATACAATATAGTTATTTATATACAATATATATACCAGCACCACGGATTCCGGGTGTCCATTAATGCCCCGAAAAGAGGTCAAGGGGTGTCCAGGTCTACTACCCCTCGATGGTCCTGGTATATGATATTCATACTTTTATGCCTTTATGCCCGAGTCTTCAACCCCCCGGTTTTGCATCATCGCGCAGAACGATGTGCCCTTTTGGTACCGGAAGCTCATGGGTGTTTCGGCAGGATGGAACGGAGGGAACGGATAGACTCATCAAAGACCGCAGGGTGGTTAGGTCTCGCCTTGCACGATTTTGTAGCACAGGATTTGGTTCCTCTTGCATCGATCACCTATTCAACATTGAGGTCGTGTTTGATTCCCCAAACTCTTCCATCGTCTCCAGACGGTCAGACGGTCAGAATGATTTAGATCACTCTGCTGAGTCAATGAAAGTCAGTCTGATGACCTTTGGGTCTACGCAGTCAGCACGTTGAATTTGATGACAGGGAAGGACTTGTTTGGGTCAGTCCTGTTGTTGGCAACACTAGTTGCTGAAAGAATGCTGCGCAGAAGTGAGAATGTCCACTTACAGAAAGTCTTAGTACCTGCCCCATCCCTTGCTGTCATACGGCAAGACCTGTCCCCAGAAAACGCCTCACACGAAACATTCATCCCAAACAGGATCCAACCGGCCATCCTATCGGCCCCGCAAAAGACCATTCCCAGGTCCTAGGTCCTAGTGACCCGTCTGCCCTGCCCGTCGCGTAGCGTCTGCTCTTCCCAGGCATGGAGAACCAGGAGGCCGCCTCCACTCCATCCGCACCGCGGCCCTCCCGGGCGCCTCCGCTGCTGCGCGCGGAGCGCGCGGAGCGTGCGGAGCGTGCGGAGCGCGGGCGGATGAAGGTGCCCTCTCCACAGCCAGGACGCGAGAGGGGCCGCGAGTGAAGACGGACAGGAAAACGAGTGAAGAGAGTCGCGAGTGAAGAGATGCTGGAGATGGGGAAGGTCTCAGGTGGGGGGTGAGAGTCCCACATATAAGCTGGCGGAGGACCTGTGTTTCTGGCTTTCCCAGCTGGCGGTGGAAAACCATACGCACGGATGTTTGGGACGGGAAGAGGGACACGGACACGGATGATTCTTTTGCAACTCCCGCGGACAATGAGGAATCTGCTCTTAAGCCCCACGACAGGAAAGAACGTCTTTCGGGTAGTTGGCTTCGCCTAGCACATCCCACATCCTGTTTATTGCAAAAGAGCCTTCAGGATGGGATGAGTGAAGGAATTTGGGTGAATGACCTATAGTTGCTACGAGCTGTCCTGCTGGTCCATCGCTAAGCCCTGAAATGACTCGCTGAAATTCAGGACCAAGGGTACGAAGGGCACGGGCCACAAGGATCACCTGAGATTGTTATCCATTGGGTACTCCATTGGGTATATGCTTGTATTGAAATAGGAAAGAAGGAATATAGAGCCGATGGAGAGAAGGATGGATGGATGCTGAACATTCACTTAAACTGCTTCATGCGTGTTTCAGGGTGCTTCATGTACATCCTTTCCCCGGCTTTGCCCCATCCGTTTCCATCGGCGCAGGCGCCTTCTCCCCCTGCAGGACGCTACTCCACGCGCTGGAGCTGGTCCGGACCGGCACGAAGGAGCACGCCCATCGGCCTGGCACCACCGGTGCCCGGCGCCCAGCCGGCCTTGAGGCGTTGGGGATCGATCTGAGATCGTGGAGTTGGGGGCACCAAGGATCCTGGCATTGCTAGTCACAACAAGCTACTAGGGTCCAACTGGCTCACCAAGGGTCCAACCTCTCAACGCCCCATGGAGAAACCCGAAACAGGCGGCTTACCGGGTCGTTTTCGTCTTGATGGAGTCGCCGTCATTCGTTCGCTTGATTGGGTTCCAACAGGCGGCTTTGGGTGCTGGTTTCGACCTGGTGGAGGAGGATGAAGGTCTAGGTGCACGGCTCGACCAATAATTACACATGTCCACACCACATGGTACTGTACCAGGACCCTCCAAGGCGTGCCCTGTCTGGAAGCCTATAGGGGGTAGTCCAGCCAGGACACCCCGACAGGAGGGTCCAGGTAGGGATCATCCTTTTCTCTTGACCTTGTTGGACCTTTGCTTTTGGGAGCCCAGGGAACTCATAGTCTTCCCGCCATAGTCCAGGCTTTGCGGCTCCGTGATGGCAACAAGAGAAGCCAGGAATCGGAGTTTGACACAATCCCAGATCCATGTGGGTGTTGAAAAAAGGGAGACCAACGCGACGCACCCCTGAAAGGTTCGGTAGAGCAGTCTACCCATTGGGTCTCTCCCTATCTCAAAATACACACCCGTGATCACCCGTGTGTATCACAAGCTTGCATGGACGTCTCCTTCCAACAACACTTGGGGCACCAGTTTTGAGGCATCCACCGAGATGCCGTCTGGAGTGGGACGTCGAAGCTTGCATCTACATTCACTTCAGATGCCCCAAAAGGTTCCTTTTGAGGCAAAGTCCTAAATGGCAAGACACAATGTTGCAACAATTGGTGCATGAGATGATCTCTTGGCTTTTTGTGGAACCCCGACAGCCCTCTCACTCGCACCGATATAACTGGAAAATCATCCCAAACGGTTCCCAAACGCACACGGATGTTCAGAAAATAATCATCTTTTTCCAATTCCCGGGTCCAAGCCCGTAAGCTCTAAGGTTCCAGTGTCCAAGCCCTCAATTCCCGGGTGGTGATCTTACACTTTCTGCACAAGCTTGACATGTTCACACATCACCTTGGTTGGTGGGTGGAAGAGATGCAGATGCACTCCCTGGAACTAACGCCCGGAAGACCAAGGCGCCCAGAGCGAGCCCGGTTTCGACCATGAAATCCAAAGACCAAGGGTAGTGCTTTTCCCACGTCTATGTCAGTTCCAGGAAAAGTACCACTATGCCCCAAACGGATTTGATGAGGTCAATGAGGACATCCAGACTGGCTCTCAAGCACTCCAAGGGTTGATTTGGTGACCAAAAAAACAGCAGGTTGCCAGGACGTATTCAATGGAGGTCCTTTGGAGGCAACTTTAAAAGTCGAACTTGCTGAGCTTGCCAGATCCTTGTGGATCATGCGGTAGTCGAGCTCAACAAAGATCTATCTAACTATCCAACATAGTCGTCTAACGATGCATTCAAACCAGATCCTACATTTGGCTGCATGGCTTGGTGTGGGAAGCCATGCCTTCCCGGTGGTTCGGGCGGCCAGCCCGCGGACAGCCCGGAGCAGGTCCAGCGAATCCATCCTCCGCAGCCCGCGGAGAGGTCAGGGGAGGGAGTTCTTTTCGTTTTGTTGCGAGGTCAGGGGTTGCTTCCCACAGATGGAAACACAAAGAGATGGAAAGACAGATGGATGTATGGATGTTCTTCTCAAAGATTCTCAAAACCTGGGTGCGTGCCAAAACAGTGCTGAGCTCATCTCGGCGCCTTGTCTGGTTGCACAGCAAATGGATTTGCTGCAGCCCAGCTTTTCTATGCTTTTCTACACCTCGATGCCTCCAAAAGCAAGATTAAAGTGCGCAAGTGTAGAACCGGCTGCCTGGTCATTCCTGAGCTGAATCTTGAGGTAGTCTTGACCTCTTCCTTTCGCAGTATATAGCAAACATCACCTTCCGCGAGTACCAATTCACGATGCACCTGAACAATCCTGAAAAGGATTGGGAGCAAACCCGTCTGACTGACGCTATGAAACCTTTTGAACACCAGCCCCAGGAGATGATTTTCTTTACAACACTGGCGGACAGTCTTTCGAAATACCAGTTCCCTTTCAGGTTCGGACGCGGTTCGCAGCTTTCTCAGACTCCGACCGGGACCAAAAAGGGGCACCAATGGACCACCCGCGGTCGATGGAAAAGGCCGCAAGGTACAACGGTACAACCGTCAAAGCGACCGAGGGACCAACGCCCTCGAATAGTCCGGTGGTTTTGGGACACAAGGTGGCTCTTGGAGGGAGGGAGGTACCTGGATCTGGTCTAGGTTGTTGATGAATCAACCCGACCCGGGCGATGTGGAGGATGTTTTCACCATTCTGGTAGGGGGGCATTGATGCATCAAGAGTCGCACTTCTAGGAATAAGGTGGTCAGGGTCTTCCGGGACTTCCGTTCCGTTCGGCTCAGATCCATTGCGACGCAGTCTTCCACCGAGTCGTGCACCCACCATCGGCTGGGGTCTCCTGGCAGGGGATGGATGTGTTTGGTGGTTTCTTCGGATCATTCCGGCTGACAGAAGATGGGGAATCCAAACCCGCACCACCCAGTTTGGGTGTCTTTTGAATAGACCCCTCCTGGCCATGTGTTCGTCCAACTACAGTAACAGGGTGGTGCTGGCCATAAGTTAAGATCCCTGGCTGCCATCCAAACTGGTGAGGTTCAACACGTGGTCAAGGGAGTCCATGGCTGCCACCCAAATGCTGCTGGGGTAGTCCATCGGTCCATTCTGTCCGTTTTTGGGGGTGAGCCAAGCCAATGGTCGACTGTTTAAAGATGCCTGTTCCCTGATGATGATGATGATGATGAATACTACAGTCCGTCAGCCCGAAATTCTTGTCGACAGTGCCACTCCACAGTGCTCATATCAACTCCAAGAGTTCGGTCGCACGAACTGTGCCGTGCACAGTTCGGTCCGAAGGTCCGAGAGATGGCCATACCAGGACCCTCCAAGGGGTGCCCTGTCTGGAAGCCTATAAATAGTGTGGGGTAGTCTATTGGACACCCCGACAGGAGGGTCCAAGTATATTGGGAGGATGTTTGTATTTGCATGCTTGGCTTGGCAGCCAGGCAGAGAAGCTAACAGATTGCACCCTGGGGGGCTGACAAAGCTCAGATTCCGAGAGCACCCACACAAGCGCTAGCATCCACAAGTGCCGATGATGTAAGAAGACGAGTATACTGAAGTTCCCACCTGACCGAATTGGTTGTAACATGTTGTATATAACGTCCCCTGGTCCAGATGTGCTTTGCAACATGTCACTAGTTTGGCACTTAGTCTCGAAACTCCCGGTTTTGCACGAATCGTCCACCCGAGCCTTGTGGCGACCCAAAACATGCGCATTGACCGCATGGTGGAACAAGTCGACAGTGACGTCTCGGGACGGTCGTGGCTCTCCATCGTTCTCTGGGACCAAGAGGAACTTCCAAACCTTCAGTACTGGGATGGGTCAAAAAACAGCGTCCACCCGAGAAGTCCATGTAAGGACTCCACCTGTTCTCCACGGGTCGGTCTGGTGTAGACCTTCCGGGGTCAGGTTCGGAAACTAGACCAGTCTATTTAGCCAGGGATCTACCCAGCCAGGGGAGCTCCCACCTTTCTGGATGAACTGAGATTGAAGTTTTGCTCCAGAACTCCTACCAGGATCATCCTGTCTGGGTGTGGCTGGAGATCCTGGATAGGCCAGATGGTCGGATTAGGATCTATCCCTGGACCATCCTGTCTTATAGACCCTAGGGAGACAGGGTACTAGGGGCTCCTGGCCTTACTACTAGGAACAAGGACGCTACGAATGGAACAAAGGGCATCGCTACTAGTAGCAAGAACGCTACTAGTAGCTCCTGGCATTACTACTAGTAGCACCCCTCGGGCCGCAAATGTCTGGAGCTTTTGGGCCTTCCGAGGCGACGCGGGCCACGGCCCGCCCCGGCCCGGAACGGAGGGGCGCAGCGAGCCTTCGCGGCGAGGTGGGGGCCGGGGGGAAACTTCAAGCAGAGAGGAGATGATGTTGGGAGTTTCTGGCCGAAAGCTTTCTTTTTTCCCGAAGAAGGCTTGAAGTTCGGGGTTTTGGGATGTAACATGTCTTGTTCTGGCGTTTTTGAAAAAGGCCAACATCCACGACGTCCACGAAACATGATAAAGGTAAGCTGCCATACCACACCACAGAGTCACAGAAATACCTGGACCCATGTTCCCTATTGCCGAGGTCATGTATTACCTAATTAATAAAATTCATGTGTCATCCCAAACAATCCCCACGAACGGATCCTCCAGGGGCCGAAATCGGCACCCGGGGGTGCTTCGAATCCCGTCGCCTCGCGCCCTGGGTGCTGGTGATGTGGATCCGCGTCTCGGAGCCACGTGATGCGAGAATTTCTTCGTGACGGACGGTGACTGTGACGAAGGTCGACGAAGGTTGTTGTTTTCGGACGCCCACCCCAGCCCCCAAATGACTTGAACCGCTTACGTATACTACAGGTAGCCTCCAAACATCCATAGTAGATCTAGTAGAACGGAAGAAGCACGCGGAAACCAATGCTTTGCTGGGGTCTCATCATTCTTAGAGAGATTCATGCATGGGTATGCGTGAAACTCTCGCGCAGATGAACTCGCAAAAATGTACCAGGTGGACATGAATGTCATCACTTGCCATTGGCTGGATTGATTCATCGTTATGACCAGAATCTGCATGAAAAAGGTCATGCAGGACACTCTCAGTCGTTTGTGTCTTTTACAGAAGCTTGGGAAGACCATTGCCTTCTATCTCATCGTGTTCGTCGACTCCACCGGACCGAAAAAACAGAAGCACCAGTGAAGATCTCCATTTACCCGACGCTTGCGTAACCGCAACCTGAACACCTGGAAGCACCTGTGAAAACACCCGGGAAAGACCTGGGAACACCTGGAAACACCTGGGAGCATGTGAAAACATCCGGAAACACTTGGAAGGATTTGGAAACACCGGTTAACGCCTGGAAGCATGTGAAAACACCTGGAAGCAGCACCTGGAAACACTTGGAAGCATGTGAAAACACCCGGGAAACACCTGGAAGCACCTGGAAGTAGTTTGAAACACCTGGAAGCACCTGGAAACACCTGGAAGCATGTGAAAACACCCGGGAAACACCTGGAAGCACCTGGAAGCACCTGGAAACACCGTGTTCTGTTCAACTGGGTGGCTTGTCGAAATGGGCACCGGGCAAGTCTCCAGGGCGCGAGCCCTCACCGTGGCCGGTCACTGCTCGGCCGCTGGAGCGGCGCGGGCGGTCGCGCGGCAGCCGAAGAGGAGCCGCCGCTGGTCGGTCGCGCGGCGTGAGGTCGACCTCAGTGAGACAAACCGAAGGAACAACAGCCAAAGGCGAGGTAGCCATGGATGTAGCCATGACGTTTTCAATTGTGTGTGTGTTTTTTGTGGGCGTTTTGGCGGTGAGTGAATGAAACATATATAAAAACCACTGCCACTGCCATGGCTTGACACCGTTGACAATACTCAACAAAAACGGCTGCGCTTCGACACTCTTTTGGCTGTGCTTGGACACCTTTTTGGGAGATCAATGGTTGCCAAAGCACCTGATTGGTAGGAGTTCTGGGACCCCCCAGGTCTCCCCAACTGTTCAACTGGTGTTCTTGTCCCAAACAGGTTTACCTGTATGGGGGTCTTACTCCTCTTAAAGGGTTGCATGCCTGGGCCGGATGATTTTGGCTCTGTCATCTCTGTCTCCGGGCTTGCGCTCCTCGACTCTGCTTAGATACCCTTGGGAACTTCCGGGGCCCGACTGGCATACCCACCGCATGAATCATTTTGCCAACGAAGCATGAATATAGTAGCCGTAGTAGTGGTAGCAGTATATAATTGCTTCTTTATTACGGACAGTAGTGGCGGCCCAATCTCTAAAGAAAAGTTCGGGGCCCGAAACTTCGGGGATTGCCGGTCCTCACGGTCGTGCGTTCAATGAAAAAGACGTGTTTGTGCACAAACCCTCGGCTCGAGAGATTTGAAGGATGCGCTCAGTGAACTCAATAACAAATGTTGTGTCCTTGATGGATTGCTCTAATCTTTCAATATAATACCCGCAAGCTTCGAAATTTGACTTGCAAGCTGCTGCAAATAAGTAGTAGTAGTAGTCGTCGTAGTGGTAGTCGTAGTCGTAGTCGTAGTCGTAGTCGTAGTCGTAGTCGTAGTGGTAGTAGTAGTAGTAGTAGTAGTAGTAGTGGTAGTAGTGGTAGTAGTGGTAGTAGTGGTAGTAGTGGTAGTAGTGGTAGTAGTGGTAGTAGTAGTAGTAGCAGTAGTAGTCGTAGTCGTAGTCGTAAGTCGTAAGTCGTAAGTCGTAGTCGTAGTATAGTAGTAGTAGTAGTAGTAGTAGTAGTAGTAGTAGTAGTAGTAGTAGTAGTAGTAGTAGTAGTAGTAGTAGTAGTAGTAGTAGTAGTAGTAGTAGTAGTAGTAAATGCAGGGACATCAGGACCGCGAAAGACAAAAAAGAACACGAGGGACGTCAGGGACGTGAGGGGCGCGGGGGAGGTCAGGGACGCGAGGGACGTCAGGGACGTGAGGGACGCGAGGGGCGTCAGGCCTCATGTCCTGCAGCGTGGGTGTGGCAATTGTGGAAACTTCGGGGCCCGAGGCCCCAACCTTGGGAACTTGCGAGGCCCGACTGGCACGCCGCATGAAATGGAAACTCAATATAGTAGAGGTCGTCATAGTACTAGTAGCGCTCAGGGAAGACGGAATTGTCGTGAGTTGCGGCAGCAGTACAACTTGCATGATGTACATTCAGGAAATGATATTCAAATGTGAAGATAATGTATATAGTGGCAGTCGTCGTAGTGCTGGTGGGACATGCCATAGACATCTAACAGCAGCACCCTGCGGAGGCACCAGCGCCCAGCCGCCACAATTGGGGAAAAACATCCGGCCAAGTGTATCCGGAGTACTCCGAGGCAAGTGGGAGACAAGTGTAAAATAATCTGGCCAAGAGTATCCAAGCAAGGAGACCAGCATGGAGACAAGCAGGGAGACGAGTGGAGACAAATGTAATAGCATTCGGCCAAGTTTTGAAAGGGGGCCATCATCCTAAATGGAAAGGTGAGGGAAAATTCGAAGTGATCTTGGTGCTTTCTCTTTGGAGCCAGGGCTTGTACTCAGTGCTGATTTTGGTAAACCCTCTCCCGTCAGGGTTGTCTTCTTCTTCTTCTTCTTGGCTTGCAAATGGCGCACCGGCCACGATCACATGTGGACTACCTGCACACGGCATACTGACATCTTACAGATAGCATGGAGGCAAGAACCAATGGGAAGACCATATGTGGCGTATCTATTTGTGAACGGTATGCTTGGTTACAGATAACCTAGAAACTTAAAGGGATCTTTCTAAGAACGGAAAATGCCCGGCGCGCCCGGCACTACTATTTGTGACTGGTTGTAGACGGCGGAAAACAACAATCAACAGTTCACAGACAACGACCAACAGTTCACAGATAGTAACTAATGAAGCGACATTGAGCGCTTGAGGCCCGGCGGCGCTACCATCAGCCAAACTATCGGTGAATGGCATACTGAGATTCTACAGGTTCGTTTGGGCGCACAGGAGACAAGTGTGATCCTTTAGGACTGAACTTTGAAACGACGCTCTCAAGCATACAGGGGTAGCGCATGGACTCGGCTTGGAGGTGAACATTGATGTCCTATATAAACTCATCCGGCCAGGAGGGCGAAGAGTATCTGAGCAGGGAGACCAGCAAAGAGACAAGTGGAGACGAGTGGGGGACAAGAGTAAATTCATCTGGCCAAGAGTATCTAAACAGGGAGAGAAGCAATCTTTTAACCAAACAAAACATGATAAAACCACACATCAGCGCAACTCAGCATATTAGGTAGAGTAGCATGTGTTCTGTTTTCGTTTGATCAGCCGGTTTTGAGTCTGAGCTGAAGCAAACCTAGTAGGTCCGAGTTGATCACCGCGGGCTGGAGCGGTTTGAGCTGTTGACTGTTTGACAGTTCGTCTCTGTGGTTAGTGGTTTACATCATATATGCACAAACTGTTGGGGTCTACGCTGGTAAAATTTTCACCGGTCTCCCGAGGCAGACATTTGCACGACCCAGATGACACAATTCATGATAACTTTCCGCACCTCAAAGGTGTCCTGTCATCAAGATCCTATGGTGTTTCAGTCGGACTGAGCCGCCATGACAAATCGGCTGTGCGGAAAAAGCCGACGGCTCGGGACAGTTCATGAGAGCTGCCTTTGCCTCAAACCGCCCCTTGCGGAGTGCAGGACGGCGGAGCCCTCGGCGAGGCGGGGCATGGAGGGTGAAATTCCTTCTATATATTGCATTCCCAATCACGAGCGCCCATCAAAATAAACTGCCCCCCCCCAAGTACCTCCTACTAAATTACACCCAGGATCATTTGGGAGTCTCTGGTCATTAGGTACCCTGCAGTGGCGTGCCGCTTTATGCATGTGCCTCCTTCGCCAATAACAGCCACACAACGGCACTTTCCACCTGGGCCTCGCCAAACTGCATGGCTTAACGACATCACCTTCCAAAATCTCCAGTTGTTAGTCTGATGGACACTTTCGATGCCCCCCTAGGTGGGCGACTTTGGGCCCCCCAAACTAAAAAAACACAAACTAACAAAAAACCACCGGAGTTTGTATGTTTAGGGACGGGGTTATAGGTGGAAGGGGTTATGTCGCATAGATCCCTTTGTTGAACCAGTTCCACTTATTTTGGTGTTAAAAGACTTAAACTGTGAAGAGAAAGCGACCATATTTTCTCAGTCAATCAGTGGGTCACTGCAGCTTTATATATTGGCTAATCAACGCAAGGTAACACACACAACTTTTGCAGATTTTGTGTTGCGTTGCATGTAGGCGTTAAGGGGGAGGCCAAGGCTCTAAGTCGAAACTCGAACCATAGTGAAAAAAAACTTCCACGGTCAAACAGCAGCAAGGCTTGTCAAAATTTGGAATTGCCCTCATTGTGTTCTCCATCTCATATACACTTAATATATCTACTCTCCGAGATGCTTCTCAACCACAAAAACCGTGGCCACCAAGCCCGGCAGCCCTTCTCAAAAGCATCACTCGCCACGAGTTCTCGGCTGCGCGGCAATGGGGCGAGGGGCGAGCCCACAAGGAAGGATTTTTTTTGGCATTTTCCTGAAAATTACCCTGTAGTCTATAGCGCTAGCTGTTCTGTCCATTATAGATATCACACATTTAAAGGATCTGTTGAAGATCACACCTTCGACGCCGGGCGCGAAATCGCGTTCGGGCAGGCGCTTGGGCACGGGGTGATTACGCGACCAAAGGCAAGCAAGCACCTTTTGAGGATTCCTGCGGGCTGGTGTGAGTTTTGAAGACCCGGAGTTGCTTTACGACAATTTCTTCAGGCTCCAACGGCTCATACATGGTCTATTCCGGAAGTTAGACCCTTAGCCCTTTTGATTTAGAAGGGATTCCTTATGCCACTAAAGGTGAAACCTTCAGCAAAGGACCTATGGACAGCCGAGCTCAATAGGTTTGGCTCAGTGAGTTGATGTGGTGTACGGGTTTCTCCTCCGAGTACCAGGTGATGTCAAGCGACGAGCATCCAGGAGAAAACGCCATGGGGTTAGGGACTTTAGAGGATTTTAAGGTTTGCTATATAGGTTTGCTCTATAAATGAATGTTTTTGCTTTTTCACAAGGACCTCCAACCACTTCGCAGGTGTTGAGTGCAGACACAGGATGTGAAATTGACCTGCCCTGTAGCCCAATGAATGACTTTCTGACGCGTGGGATGAAAGTATATACTTATGATATATTATGTGGTGAATTCAGGATGTTCCACGCTTCAGAACGAACAAACCCCATAGGCTGCATGACGAGGCATGGCAGTGTGGAAATCAGAGGAATGCACTCCGAATCAGTTGAGTCATCATAGCCTCCCTGGTTCCATGGCTAGAAAGCACCTGGCCCAAACGTTTGCGCCCCGCTGCCGCTGGAAAAAACCATTGAATTTCGCAAATGGTTTGCCTGATTCAGAAGTAGAAGAGCTGGGGATGATACGCTTCTCACGAACATATCCATTTTCATCCATTTTCCACTTGCATGCTCGTAAATCGGAGAGTACCAGGCGAACCCAACAGTCGCCCCACACGTCCCATCGTTCTGGGGCCCCTGTTTCCAGGCGCCGCGGACGTGGGCCCGGGCTTGCGGCGGGAGCGCGAGGAGTACCAGCGGAAGGATCCACCCGATCGGAAGCGGCGGAAGGAGCGCAAGGAGCGCAAGGACGAACGAAAGCAGCGGAAGGAGCGCAAGGAGCGGAAGGAGCGCAAGGAGCGGAAGGAGAGGAAGAAGAGGAAGGAACGAAAGGAGAAGGAGAAGGAGCAGGAGGAAGGAGGCGGGAGGGGAAGCTGGAAACGGGACAATGCTGCGGGCATTTGCTGGCGATTGTGTGGAATATCGTTTATTTAAGAACATGTTCTTAAACAAGGTATTTATATACGTTGATATTGATGCCTAATTTCTATCAGTGTGCTGTGGGTTCACATAGCTCGTTTTCCTGCCACTTGCATCAACACAGGAGGACATGGACCTATGACACTCCATGCTAGAAAGACCATGCTTTGGTTCAAAGACCTGTGGGGTTCCTCCAATGTCCACTCATTTCCTGGAGGATTCTGCTACTTAGCAGCCCTGGGTCAGCTCTTCGCCAATCAGACTCAGTTTTCTGGCCCACCACCAGGATCTTTGATACCTTGGTACTCAGAATACCCTTGATGAGAGATGCAGCAGCATACCCCTACAAACTGTCCCCGTACGAGAAATGCAACTGTCGCGACACATGCTGATATATTTGTATAGATGTGATGAGAAAACCACACTTGGCAGACAAGAAGAACCTTCACGCACAGGACATTTAGATACAGGTGTGGTTTTTGTTGATGCATGCGTCTGTGTTTTTTTAATGACAAGTATCTTTGCTCCGCTCGTTTGGACAAGTCTTTTTCTTTCTAAGACCATCCCAGAACCATCCCACTTTGGTCGTCAATCTAGGGTTTGCTGGCTGGTAGCTATGTCGACCGGCACGTGGAACAGCAGGCACCTGGAACGAACACACCACGACCTCCCTCCACCTGCCCGAAGCCCACGACCTCTGCAGACCACGAGCATCACGAGACCAAATCGCACACGAGCCACGCGGAGAGTCCAAGCGCTCGTCAAAAGAAGCGAAAAGCGGAGAGTGCGGGCACTGAGTGGCGGAGAGAAGCGCGGGGGAGGGAGATCGGTTTTGGGGGTCTTTTTTGGGGTCTGTCAATTTTCATCGAGTTTCCTTCTGCTGCTGGGGGCCGAACTGAGAAGTCACCCTTGTTCCCGAATGCGTAGCGAAGGGTTCTCGTTTAACTCTGGGGGTCAGGGGGTAGAGCCTTGTTCGCGACTCGTTGTCTGAGCGACCGCAACCGTCCGCAACCGTTCGGAGGTGGAGCGCTATGGCGCTGACATTGGGGGAAGATTCTGGAGAGGGTTTTGGATGGAAGCATGACGTGTCAGATTCGTTTGAAATAGCGAGGAAACGTGTGGAAACATGAGAGAATGAAGTGTCGAGGATGAGCGTTTTGTGAGATGGTGAGTCTGCTGCGCAGTCGCATTGGGATTGGGGTTTGGAGGGTGGTGTTTTTGGGGTGTTGGATGTGGCTGTGACATAGGGATTTGCGTTCCAGGCTGTTGCTTCGAAGCTGTGTTTTCGTGACAAGTCTCAGCTCAAATGACGCTTTTGGTGGATGGGAGCGCGCTCAGAACGTGTTGAACTCATTCCAAACGTGTGGTGTGGTGCAAATTTTGTTGAAGTTGGCATGATGTGATATTATCACTTTTCGTGGCAGGCGCAGTACTTTGTGCGGGCTTTGAAGTGTGGAAGTGCAATTTTTGTGGCAGGCGCAGTGAATCGTGAGGTTTGAAGGCTGTGGTGGAGGCGAATGTCGCTGTGACTTTGGGATTGGTGTGTTAGCGGGTGTTGCTGGGAGGGGATGGAATCGTGAAACTGCTTGGCAGGGCTGCTTGATGTGTGTGCTCTGATGGGGCCTGCCGCTTGACTTTTGGAGGAAGTCTCGTACAAAACGCTCGTTTTGGAGACTTTGACATGTGACTTTTGGAGGAAGTCTCATACGAAGGGCTCGTTTTGGCGACGTGACGCATGAATTTCGGAGGAAGTCTCGCACGAAACGCTCGTTTTGCAGACTTGAAGCGCGAGTTTGTGTCCAACAAGACGAGTGTTCTCCAGAGTCCGGCAAGAGTCTTACAAAAGTGTCCTACAAAAGTGTCCCGCAAGAGTGCACAACAGTGTCCAGTCTTCTTGTCCACAAGAGTGTTCCACAAGAGTGTCGGACAAGAATGTTCCACAAGACTGTTCCATACGAGTGTCCGACAAGAGTGTCCTACCAGAGTGCCCCACAAAAGTGTCCCACAAGAGTGTCCCGAAGAGTGTCCTACAAGGGTGTCCCACGAAACTGTCCTACAAGAGTGTCCCACACGAGTGTCCCACAAGAGTAAGAGTGTCCCACAAGAGTGCCCTACAAGAATGTTCCACAAGAGTGTCCTGCAAGAGTGTCCCACAAGAGTGTTCTACAAGAGTGTCCTGCAAGAGTGTCGGACAAGAGTATCTCACAAGAGTGCTCACGAGATGGCCCTACAAGAGTGTCCTGCAAGGGTGTCCCACAAAAGTGTCCTACAAGAGTATTCGGCAAGAGTGTCTTACAAGAGTGTTCTACAAGAGTGTCCCGCAAGAGTGTCTTACAAGAGTGTTCCACAAGAGTGTCCGACAAGAGTGTCCTACAAGAGTTTCTGACGAGGGTGTCCCACAAAAGTGTCCTACAAAAGTGTTCCACAAGAGTGTCCCACAAGAGTGTCACGAGAGAGTCCTACAAGAGTGTT